GTGCATCCAGCTATAAAAGTCTTGATTTTGCCATACTTTTTAGGTAACTGTATAGATAACACACTTTCAGCTAATGAGATATAGATGAAAGTATCTGGAGAAGCTTCCTTAATAATAAAAAGCTAGAGAAGAAAGCCTTTCCTCCCTTTGCTCTTTCTCCCTTCTTATATGGGAATCTGGATGAAGTTAGGCTTGGAAAAGGTATAGCACTCTTTTAGTATGAACAGGAGTGACAAGCCAGTCGAAGAATACTTACACGTACTAAGGATTCCAAAGTGGAGTTTTAAAGAGCTCTTATGCCATTGTTAAACTATGCCAGCTTGAATGCTTTGACTAGTTGAGGGAGCTGTGAATCCTATAAGTTCTTTAAGCCTCTACTGTTTTCTGTTATTTGTAGCCAACTATGTTCCTAATTGTTATAAAGGACCTATATGATCTCACCCTTGCCCATTTTTCTTACCCTATCACTGTACTCTAGCCATATCAACTAGCAGATAAATCTCTGCTCAAATCCAAACTCCTTACTTAGAACTTAGAGGCTCCATGTGATCTGGTTTTACTGACCTCCCCTAATGTGCTACTGCCCTTTCCATCCCCAAAGCAATAAAACATTAAAATATCCAATAATACTTGATAATAAATATGTGCAAGATGTTAATAAAGATAAACACAAAATAGAAGAACTTAACAGACCAGAATTGAAGGAGTGGTATATCATATAAATAGATTAGAAAACTCAATATTGTCAATTTGTCAACTTTCCAGGATTAATTTGAAGTAATGATTTTTTTTAAACAATTTCTAGCATTTTCTTCCTGGCCCTTGAAGATATTCATATGAACATCAAAGAGCAATAATAGTCAAGGTAATTTTTTCAGGGTAACAAAGTAGATTGACATTCCCCTATTCAACATATAGACTTATTTTCAAGTTAAAGTATTAAACACACAAATTGACAGAAAATTAGATCTCTAATTTATCTCCAACTCACATTACACTTAGAAGTAGATTCAACATCTCAATGTGAAAAGCAAAATTATATAAATAATCTAGAAGGGAATGTTGCAATAGGAAAGAATGTCTTAAAGATCATGTAGGAAGCACAAACATAGTAGGGGAAGATTGATAAATTTTACTCTTGTTAAAGTTTAAAACTTGTATTAAATAAAAAAACATTGTAAACAGTTTAAAGACAAGCCATAAATGGAGAGAGGATATTTATAATGCATACTAGAGGCCTGATGCACGAAATTCGTGCACATATAAGGTTCCTAGGCCTGGCCTGCAATCAGGGCCGATCTTCCCTAGCAGTCAGGACCCCAGCACTGCCTATGTCCATCACCACCCCCACTTCCCTCCTTCCCTGTTCCCCATTCCCCATCAGGTGATCAGAGCCTGCCAGCCAGGGGGAGGGACTGATTGGGTGACAATAAGAAAAAGACAAACAGAAAATTGGGTCAAGACAACAAACCAGTACTTAATAGATGAAACTTGAATGGTTAGTAAACATATGAACATATGGTGCACCATGAAAATGATTATATCAGTTTGCATGGGTTCAGCTATAAGTATCGAAAAATTCAGCTAACAGAAACTGAAAGCCTAAGGACATTTTTTCCTCCTTGACAAGTTTAGAAGTAGAATTCAAGAATTGGTTCAGCATTCTGTGAGCACAGTAGGGTTACATGCCAGCATTTTTATAGTTCTCTTGATCTTCCCATCATGGTTGCAGCAGCTCCAATATCATAACCTTCTGTGAGAATTTTTTTAAAATAGGAAAGAGAAGAAAGGGACCTTCATCCTCCATACGCATCTTCTTTTAGTGGGGAAGAGAAATCATTCCATAAGCTTCTAGATTTTTCCTTCTGTCTCCTTGCCAGTTTCTGACAGAGGAGAATGAATCACCCTTACAGCTTAGAGTAAACAGGATTCACTTCCTGAACTGGGGAAAGGTTTACGTTTTCTGACCATATTACTTGCTGTCTAATACCTGAGGAAAATTGAATTTTTCTTTGCCAGCAAGAAGAGAAGATATTTGCCATAATCATTAGCCTCTCATTAATATAGGTTGAACCAAACAATATTGATGACATAATATGAATATGTAATATATTCTAGTATTATGAAATGTGGAAAATTTAATGTACAAATATATTAACATGAAATACATGGAAATACATAAATATAATTAAGGAATATCTATAAATACATAAACTTATGTGTTTAAAAACATGAAAAATATAAAAATATGCAGGGGTGTAACAAACATTGACTAATGTAATGGTATCTCTAGAGGAAAAAAAGTTGATGACTAGGATTAAGAAAGATTTCAATTGTATTATTTAATTTTCAAAAGTAAAATGCAAATATCTGAACCAAAAATGTAAATAGCATTTGTATTTTCTTGCCTTCTTTAAATCTTATAAATTATATTAATGTATACAGAGTAGGGAAATGAGTATTCTCAAGCATTTCAAATGAAAATGAAAATTAATAGACTGAATTAGAGGACAGTTTTGGACAGAGAAAGAAATCTGGAAGTTTAATCATCAAAATGCTCATGATAATTATCTGGATGGTGACATTACAGGTGATTTTCCTTTATGAAAACTTGGTGTTTTGTTTATATATTTTAAAGTATATCTGATATTATCATAGTCAGAAAAACCTTTAAATCTGTTTTCTTTTTAGAAATTAAAAATATAAAATTAAAAGCTGCTTACTATTTTGGTCTACTTATCATGAAGTAAGTAAACATGTATATTCGTGTAGTCAGCAAATATATTATTGAGTGCATATCAGGCACTATTCTAGGTGCTGGAGATACAAACAACTCATAAGACAGGGAAGGGTACCTCTTTTCATGGAACATCTTGATTTGGGAGAGACATTAAACAAATACATGAACAAGTTACTTTCAGGTCATAATTAAGTACAAAAGGAAAGTAAAACTGACTGATATTGAAAACAGTGATGGAAGAGTGTTTATGAGCGTGAGTGACCTTAAATTCGGTGGTCAGCCAAAGTTCCTTATTTCTGAGTTGTTTATCTGAGCTGAGAACTGCATGACAGAAGGATCTAGGCATGTGAAGATCTGGGTTCCAGGGCTTCAGGCAGAGCAGATAGCAAGTGCAAAGTCCCTTCGGCTGAAAGGAGTTTGTCATATTCAGGAAATAAAAAGTGAGTGAGTGAAGCTTAATGAGAGATAGGGGAGGTGAGAAAGGCAAGCTCACAGAAAGCCTTGTAGGTCATAAGGAGTTTGTATTCATATTTTATTATTTGTGTTATGGGAACCCATTGCAGGATTTCAAGCAGGGAAGTGACTGATCTATGCCTTGAAAAGATCACTCTGCCTACTCTATAAGGATGAATTGTAGGACAGCAGATGTGACAGCAGAAACCAGTTAGAAGGTTATATGCTGAAGTTTAGACAAAAGATTATGGGAGCTGAAACTGGTTTGGCTCAGTGGATAGAGCGTCGGCCTGCGGACTGGAAGGTCCCCCGGTTCTATTCCGGTCAAGGGCATGTACCTTGGTTGGGGGCACATCCCCAGTAGGGGGTGTGCAAGAGGCAGCTGATCGATGATTCTCTCTCATTGATGTTTCTAACTCTCTATCTCTCTCTTCCTCTCTGTAAAAAATCAATTATATATATATATATATATATATAAAGAGATTATGGGACTTGAAGCTGGTTGCTCTGGGGAGTAAACAGACTTGAGATATATTTGGAAGTACAGTTCATGACGTCAGAACTCAAAGAATTCCTCCACAATAAAATGAAGATAATGGTATCTCACAAGGTGTTTCCACAAGGAACTAATGCATGTTGAGCATTTATCATACTTCATGACACACATAAGATTAGTGTGTAATTTCTATACTTACCATTATTATTTATATTGTAATAGCATGGAGGTAGTCATACCTAGCAAATAAAAACCTAATCAAATGTAAAATAGGAAAGAAAGAATCATTAATAAATGTGTTAGTAGTAAAGATAAAAATGCTAATATTTGAAGGTTTTTAAATCCATTGCATTGTAGCTTGTAATTTCATCACCATAATACAATTACTTTAAAATTGTCATTGGTGCCGAAACCGGTTTGGCTCAGTGGTAGAGCGTCGGTCTGCAAACTGAAAGATCCTGGGTTCCATTCCGGTCAAGGGCATGTACTATCGATACATTGGTTGCAGGCACATCCCCGGGGGGGGGGGGGGGGGGGGCGGGGGGGTGTTGCAGGAGGCGGCTGGTCGATGTTTCTCTCTCATCGACGTTTCTGGCTCTCTTTCTCTCTCCCTTCCTCTCTGTAAAAAGTCAATAAAATGTATTAAAAAAAATTGTCATTGGCTATTTTTCCCGTTGTCTATTGATCTAATTAAAATCCTTATCATGTTGGACATTGCATAATGTTGGTGCCCTTTGATTTCCATAAACTTGTACTTTCACAGTATGTTTTACCTTTCTCAGTGTCTATCTAGTCCCATTCTGCTGCAGATCTTTTCTGGCTAAAAGTTGTGATACTTCATATCAGTGTTCTGGTTCTGCATAACTTGTCAACAAACCATCATCACGAATTTCTAGTATCCATACATTTTTTTTCCAATTTCCCTAGTGTTATGTTGAGTGTTTGATTTGGTTGTCAGCAGGGTTTAAATAACCATTATCTCTTAAAATATAGTTATACATTTGATTTTGTCTTGTGAAGCATGAGGGGAAAGTGAATGCCTCAGACAGGAGTCATGTGCTGCCCAGCACACAGAGATATTGAAAAAATGTTCTTTTAATAAACTGTCCAAATACTAAAGGAAGAGCTTTCTTATTAGTTCTAAGTTTTCTGAGATGAAAGAATCCATTTGAATATTAGCCTTTTATTTTTTACTCTTTTATTATAGAATATAGTACTTCAGTTCTTGTTTGTTGATATTGTTAGAGGAATTCTAATGGTTCTTTTTACAAAATTGAATTAATGTAAGATATTTTCCCTCTTTATTTTTAGGTTTTGGAAGGAAGGATGTCGTAGAACATTTGCTGCAGATGGGTGCTAATGTCCATGCTCGTGATGATGGAGGTCTCATCCCACTTCATAATGCCTGTTCTTTTGGCCATGCTGAGGTTGTGAGTCTGTTACTGTGCCAAGGAGCCGATCCAAACGCCAGGGATAACTGGAACTATACCCCTCTGCATGAAGCTGCTATTAAAGGGAAAATCGATGTATGCATTGGTAAGTATTATTTGTTGTAACTAAGTTGTAAGATCAACCTGACAGGTATAAAATTTTAAATAAAGCTTTCTGTTCTCTCCTGTTTCCTGTTGTGATGGAAATAGTATTTCCTTAGAATTAGTAGAGTGGGCTTTATTACTTCTTATTCTTAAAGGCGATTATTTTCCATCAAAAGAGAAGTACAGAGACAGCAATGTAAAGTTGGTTAAGAACCAGATTCACAACATGAACCCTCCAAATGCAAGTCAAATGCTAACTGGTATAGAACTCAATTTTGATAGATTACTGTTATCAAATTTAGTTAATTTACAGTCTCTTTAAAAGATTGCTAATTTTCTATCCTTGCAACAATGAGAGCCATTATAAAGTACAAATTCTTACTGAATTGGATGACATATTTGGATGCTTTAGCTTGATTCAAGGAACATTATCAAAGCTTTTCTCTTTATGTTGCTGAAATTGAACACCATCTATTTTATTAGGACTGGAATGCTTTGAGTGAGTAATTCAAATATAGTAATTCAAAGCTTAATATTTTCAATATGTGCCATAGTCTAGAAGAAAAGCAATTTCAAACAAAATTGAATTTTTCAACCATTTTAAGTATTGAGATTATATAAAATTGTATTTAATCAGCATTTCTTTCTCATATATATGTAATACATATATACTTAAATATATATTATATATATATATATATATATATATATATTCTTTAGATTTTGCTTCAGTGTATAATATTTTTCATTTTAGAATTTAAAACAAGCTTCTAGAGGAGAAGCCTAGTTTCTTTTGTGTGTATCATCTGTTTCTTCATATTTAAGACAGTGATGTTTGTTTAACCCATGGCTAGTTGGTTTATATAATTGTTGTCTTCTGGATAGCATCCATTTCAGTTTAATTAGTTATATTTATGATAAAACAAATGTATGTCATTTAAAAATATTTTTATTGATTTCAGAGAGGGAAGTGAAAAGAGATATAGAATCACTAATAATGGGAAAAATCATTGAACAGCTGCCTCCTGTACACCACCACTGGGGGTCAAGCCCATAATCCGGACATGTGCCCTGGCCAGAATTGAACTGTGATCTCTTGGTTCATGGGTTTGATGCTCAACCACTGAGCCATGCTGGCTTGGCTTAATTTTCTGAGATTGGTCCTCCACCCTCCTGCCATTTCTGTTTAGGTAGACACAATTGGTTTCTGATATTCCCAAATGAATAGACTAATGTAGAGATCTTGAGAAGGCAGGAAAATAAAAGTTGTATACGGAACCTTTAAACTAACAAAGATATCTCTTGAATCTTGATGTAAAAATTCCTACTGCCTTCACACTATTTACATGTTTACCTATTTCCATCTCTCCTTAAAATCTGTGATTCTCCAGTGAGAAGGGGACAGAGCATGTTCCCTTTGGGTTCCTCCGCAGGGAATAGAGACCTTATTGGCTTCCACAGCAAACAGTCCTAAAGATAATAGAGGAGCATAGTCTTCCAACACTTATGGGATTTTCAGTATTTGGAATACTCCAATATCTAGATTTGAAGCCCAGAAAGCCTAATGAAAAATAGCAACCTTTCTCCAAAGAGGGGAAGATGGAATGAACATCAGACTACATATCCAGGACTGCTTAAGGGGTCAGATAAACACCTAAAGAAAAGTTAAAAATAAAAAGAGCCCTCTGGGAAAAGAAAATGTAGTATGAAACAAACTTCCTGGCACCAAAAAAACCTCTTATTTATTTTATTTTTTTTAAATAGAAAATTCAATAGATAAGTTAAAGAAAAACCATGTTGGTTGTCTGGAAGATCATTTGTGAGACATGTCCCCCAATACAGAGCAAAATGTTAGCATATGGAAATCATAAAGGAAGAAATAAGTAAACCCAAAAAATCAACATTATTTTAAAACCTTACATGTATATAAGAGTTCCATAAGCCAGGGGGGTAGGGGGGTATGGGAAGGAAGAAAAAACTGACCTAGAGATTAATAATAATTAAGTGATAAGCAGAGAAAAACTTAGGTCTTGAGTTTGAAAAGACTTACGGAGTTTCATGATGTATTGATGAGAAGAAACATGGAGGAGGATGTGTGAACTTTTCCCTGTATAAAGAATAAGTTGCCTACAAAGGGGAAAAAAGGAGATAAAAGACTCCATTAACAACTTTGAAAGCTTGAAGACAGTGGAATACTTTCTAAAAAGAATGGAAGAAAAGGATTAAACTGTAATTCTCTTGATAAAGAACAGTGCTTCAGCTTTTGGGGGGTAAGAAAGACTGAATAGAGCAAGTGACATTATTTTAGAGAAATAAAGTTCCTGCCACTTGCTTTCTTTTTCTTTCTCTTTACTTTCAAATAATTCTTGGGAGCCCAAAATTCAAACTGTTACTTAAAACCTAATAATTAGAACTTTTAAAAAATAGCTTTATTTCCCACACTCAATGGCGTTAAGTTAAATAGACCTGGGTCTTTGAGCAAATTACTTACTCTCTTAACTATTAAAATGAGGGGTAATAACTACTTCATGTAGATATTAAGAAGTTTAAATGAAGAGAATGCAAGTAAAGCACCTTAATATAATATCTGTGTAGACAGTACTGTCATAATTTCTTACCCTACCCTGGTTGTGTGTTTTCTCTAAATATCTCATTTTACTATGTTTCATTGTAATTCATAACACTTATTACCTGAAATTATATATGTTTAGTTATATATTTATTTGCTTGTTTTCATTTCTCTGGGTACTCTTTTCCACTCTGTGCCTGAATTAGAAACACAGGAACCTTGTCTAGCTTATCTTGCACTGTATCCCCACTGTAATATTCTCAGAGTGAAATGTGTATTCCTCATGGTGGTTTTATTTTGCATTTTCCTGATTAGTATATTGCTGAACATCTTTTCATGTGCTAGTTGTGGCTATTGGTACACATTTTTTGGAGAAATGTCTACTTACACCCTCTGTCCATTTTTTAAATTGGATTGTCTTTTTGTTATTGAGTTGTAAGAGTTTTTAAAATATATTTAAAAACATAAAAGATATGTTTCGTACCAGATAAATGATTTGCAAATATTGTCTTCCACTCTGTTGTCTTCTCACTACTTGATAATTGACTTTGAAGCAAAAAAATTTTTTAGTTTTGGTGATTTGATTAATAGTTAAATCTGCTTTTTACTTGTTTGTTTGTGCTTGGTGTCACAAGTTTAAGAATCCATTGTCAACAAGTTGAATAATCCAATCCCGTAGGGTATAAAGATTTAACCCTATATTTTTTTTCTAAGAGATTATAGTTTTAGCTCTATTTTTAGATCTTTATTTATATGGAGTTAATATTTGTATATGATGTGAGATACAGGATCTAATACAGTGTTTTAACATATAGATGTAGCACAGTTGGTGGATGTTGGATTGTTTCCAGTTCCTAAATGTTCTGAAGAAGGCTTCTGTGAACATTGGTTTATAGGGTTTGGTGTGAACATATTGTTTCATTTCTTGAGTCGATGCCTAAGAATGGAATTGTTGAATGGAATGATAAGTGTATGTTGAACTTAATGACTATTGGTCATTTGTGTATATTCTTTGGGTGGTCTCAGTTGAAATTTTTTTTACCTTTTGGGGTATTATTGTTGACTTGTGAGAGCTCTTTTGTGTTATGGACATGAATTTAATTAGATATGTGTATTCTAAATACTTTCTCCCAGTCAGTACTTTGATTTTCGTTTTCTTAGTGGTATCTTTAGACAAGCAAAGGATTTTATTTTTGGTAAAATCCAATTTGTCAGTTAAATACAAATATATTTAGTGTCTCACTAGCATTGGAATAATAAAGTAAGATTTTTATTAGACAGTTATTTTTAGGTTAAAAACAGTTTTAGTGAAATAAGATTATAGCTTTAATTACATTGTGGAAATGCAGGAAACAGTTTTTTTGGTTTAAGGGTCTCTGAAGTGCTTTATATAACAACTTGTTTAGGATATATGTTTTTAATTAAAATGAAAGAATAAGCTATTCCATAATGAAAAATTGAATGTGCTATGTAGCTTATATTTAAGATTTAAGACTAAAGTCAAGTATATCTTGTTTAATTAGGAAATAATTACCTAAAATGCACAGTTATTTCTGAGATAACATTGTTTGCCCCTCTATTTGGAAGTATATTTTTAGCATTTGGTAAATATATTATTTTTAATAGCTTCTTGCCTGAATCATTCCATAAAGGAGCACTCATTAATTCCCAAATGTTAAAGATGGGTTTTTTGTTTGTTTGTTTGTTTGTTTGTTTTTTGTGTGTGTATGTGTGTTTTGTTTGTTTGTTTATGCTTTCCCCCTGCTTTCTGAGATCAAAAGACACATAGATGTTCTTTGAGCTATTTCTTCATGTCATTGACTTTGGTAGAATTCTCATAGCTTTTCATATTCCCACAGGATTGAGACAGGAAATCTAAACAGTTTAAAGTATTAAGGACTACTCTTTAAAAAAAAAAATAATGTTTTTATTGATTTCAGAGAAAGGAAGGAAGAAATAGGAACATTAAAGATCAGAGGGAATCATGATAGAGAATGATCATGCAGAAACCCAGGCAATGCCTGAATGGGAATGGAACCAGGACCTCCTGGTCCATGGGCAAATGCTCAACAATGAAGTCACACCACATGGGCAAGGACTAGTCTTTTTAGCTCTAGAAATATAATAGTTCTTTGTCCACTGAATATATTTACTTCCCTTTTTCCTCCTAACAAAATGTGAGTGGGAACAAAATATGTAACTTCTGAGCATAAGTGTTAAGAATAAGAACACGGATTACCATAGTTTGTTTTTCCTTATCTTGGTTATTTAGGGTATCACATTTTAACACAAAGCCCTCTGCAGTGTCTGAGCCTCTGAGTAAGGGAACTCTCCTGCTGTCATTTTCTCAATTTGTAGTTTGAGCAAGAAATGAACTTTTCCCCCCAGATCCTTCTCCCCTCCCCGCTGTAATTTGACAATCTGCTTGTTGC